TTTTTTTTTTTTTTTTTTTTTTTTTTTTTGTTGCATTTTTTTGTAGTAAAAGATTTTTTTAACTAAAACTAAAGCCAACAAAGTTGTATTAAAACGATTAAGCAAAAAAAAAGGTGAAGCAAACAATTCCAATGATGTTGAAATTACCTCATTTCTTTCCTTTATTTTTTTCCCTCTCTTCCTTTTTTCTCCTTTTTTTCTTTCCTTCGCTTTGTTTTGTTTTGCTCCCAGTTTCATTAAGATGACACATTAATTTCTTCGGATTGTGCTACATTGTGTTAATGGAAACTAAAATTGAAGAAACGTTGTTGAAATATTTGACTTGTCCTGATGGCAAAATGGCTAAAGGTCGCCGACGTCCACATTGTCGTCGTCTTCGCCATCGCCTTCGCCTTCGTGGATGTCGTTTTTATGTCCGCAGTTGTTGGCTTGTTGCTTCTGCGGTTCATTGCTTTCCAAAAACGACACTTTTGATGAGCATAGAAAGAATTTTTCTCATTTTTTTCCTTTCCTCATATCCATGATGATAATAATGGATCATGACAAATTTCTTTCTTTTCTGTATACCATCCCTTTTCGCGTCCAAAAATATATGATTATCTGACGTTAGACAGTTAACAGCAAATATCCTACAGCGTTTTGAAGAAAACAGCAATCAGTACAATAACCATTAAAAAAATGCCATAAATCTTCGTTTGACAACGTTTTTTTTGGACCTCTTAATTGATCAATCTGATTAAACAAAATTATCCGCTTGATATCAGTCTAGAAGACAAATAATGAATAGGGGACAATTGAGATTAGTGATCAGGCTTTATCTGGATGCTAGTGGAAGCTTTTTGAAGTGAGAAACTGAAATCATCTGTTAACGACATTTTCGTCCAACTGCCTTCAACAATTTCAAGCGTCAAAACTGCCACATTGGTATATTCGTCAATGCTGATGAATAACTTTCTTTTTTTTTTCTCGGAAGTATTGCCAACATTAGTTTTTTTTCGTTTTATTTATTTTACGCAAATTTCAATGGGTTCAAACTTTTGTTTTATTTTCTCTCTATACAGCCACAGTTTCTACTTCTGATAATCCGTTTTGCAGATCAAAACTGCAAATTTTGACTTTCAATTTCTTCATTCAACAATTCCATATCATTTTTTATTTCTACGTCTGTATGTGGGTATGTATGTATGTAAGAAGTAAAAGGATCTCCTTCAAAATTTTCAGTTTTAACACAGACATCATTATTTTTTACCAATTTCATTTTAATGGGCTACAATTTATACTGCTGAAGAAATGTTGCATAATGCTAAAAAAAAGCCATACTATTGTCTAAATTTTATTCCTCTTAAAATAAAAAAATACTCTTTTGATTCAAGGTATCTGAAGGCTATCGTAACCTAAATGTCGTATTCTGCATAAATTGTATCACCCGGCGTAATGATCAACGCAAAAAGTGTGATTCGTTAACAATCCCATTTGTTATTAGTCATACGGTTGAGCTCATCAAACATTAATTATTTCTTGAAACTTTTAGCAGGTTGATTCATTGTTTTTTTTTTCAATAGAAGAAAAAATTTTCTTTCTTAATACTCTTCCATGATTATTGACATTTTTTGGAAGCTGGCCACTGGAAAAAAATACTTTTTCCTGTTTATTATGACTGGGTTTTATATTACGAAATCAACATGGCTTTACTCTTGTGTAAATATATTTATATTTGGACAACAATAGAAAAAACATGTATATATATTTCCAATTAATCTAACTTTACTTTGACAAAATGACTTAGTCGGTTTACTGAACAATATGTAGAGCTGCGTGGACGGGCTACTTTTGCTTTATTTTTGCTGCAAATTCGTTGGAAACGATAGCTTTATAATTTTCTACTCAATTTTTTTTGCTTTTTTTTGAGGAGGAAGATCACTATTCTTTGTCGTTAAAATTAAATCTATAAAAAAAAAGGATTTATGTTTTGGTTTAAAAAATGACCATGGAATCGGTGACGTCTGAGGCAGTGAAATATCTTGTAGATCATTGCAGATTTAATGCGACAGTTATGTCTTATCTTTTTGCATATGAATACAAGTGTTTTGCTTGTTGAATGACGTACATTTGCATAAAATTAAGCATTTGAGTGGATAAAAAGAAAAGCAGATAATGTTGAAGAAATAAATTACTAATTTTACATCGTTCCAGAAAATATGCAGAAACAAATGAAAAAAAGCAAGAAAAAAAGAAAAAAAACATGTCTAATTGATGTGATGATTATAAGTCGTTAAATAAAAACGACCAAAATCTACGGATTTTTTTTAACTTAAGACTTATTTAGTTTTTATGAAAAAAAATTTTAGTTGATTATGAAATGCATGAAGCCTTCATTCATCAAGTAAAAAATCGGCAGTTGTTTTGCCTGTTGCTTTACTGAACACAAAATCATCGCAGACCATAAACATGACCAACAAACTCAAACCGAATTGTTTTAATACTTTAAATAATAGTCTTAGATAAAGAAAAATTACAAAATTAATGCTTAGTTGAGATTTATTGAGCAGCTAATCACGTATAAGCGCTCAGTTGATGAACAGTTAGTGCAAAAAAAAAACTGAACGGCAATATTACTAGATTTTTCTTAACTATTCCACTGTTTTTTCATACATAAATGTTGCTGAGCTTTTTTTTGTTTAAAAGTAAAAAATTGTTATAATGATAAAGGATTAAAAGGATAATACAATTAAATGCGAAAAAAAAAGGAGTTTAAATGTTTATTGGTTTTACATACTGCGCAGACATAACATTTTATATGTTTACCTTCATCAAATAATAGATTTTTTTTTTTCAGCAGGCAGCAGCTTTAAAAAAAAAAAAATAATTTTTTTATTTTTCATTTTTTACTTTTTTTTGTGGAAATTAATGTATAGACTAAGAATATATATTAGACCAAATAAATAAATTTATGTATATTGTGTTTTCGGGATCCATTCAGTGTACCTATCGTTGCATAAAGGCAAAAATTAAACACCATACTCAGAAACAGATGGAAGCGGTAAGCGGAGTAGAAGTCCATTCATTCGCTAGTTCATTCGTTCATTCATTCATTTATTCATTCATTCATCCGCTCATTCGATGTGTTCAATTTGATATCACCGCGCAAAATGACACTGTTTGTCTGGCATTCGGTTTGCACGCATATATTCATGTTTGTGTGTACGTGTGTGTGTGTATTATATGCAATATATGTGTATCCGTTGTCCCCTTTTGCTTGTTATTGCCTAGGATTTAGTCCCTTGCGTTGTGGTCATCCTGGGTGGCAGAAGAGACTTTTTTTTTTTACTATATATACCAAGAGGCAGCATCAATAATATAGGAACAGCAGAAAAAAAACAGAAGCAACGAGAATAAAGCATTAGGCGGTAATGAAGCCATTACGACCGTCAGTGATAGTAGCAGCAGCAGTTAGAATCGCCAACCCCAGGCAACAGCCCTGTGAAGCACCACCTCTTCAAGACCCAACCGGCAACAAAACCAACCCGGGGCTCCGCCTTTTATACACAGGCACATAACATACATATCCGTTCTACTGTGCCCTTGTTTTCCTTACATATATATGTCTCGCCTTGTTTTGGTCACTTATCAACTGGGCTTATTATTTTGTTTTTTTTTCCCCTCATTACTCTGAAGTTTCACTCTATTTTTTTTTTTTTT